CAGGACATAACCTTAGGCCGTTGAGGCCAACGGGGAATGCTGCGAAGGTACTGGGACCACAACTCAGCAAAGTGATGCCAGTTCCTGGCCACAAACCGAGAGTCATCGAGCAAAATGGATTTCAGTTCGACGATCACGGCCTGGACATCTTGACACGCCGACGCGTCGCGGCGCTGCAAATCCTGCAAGAGGCGAAGAGCCCGAGCCAGATAGGCGCTGTGGGTGGACCACCTGCCGGCGGGGCCGCGCCTAGGCTCCGGTAAGGGGAAGTCGCGCGACATAGCAGGGAGACGCATGGCGGCAGGGAAAGAGAGGCCGTGCAACTCGTCCGCGGCGGGGATCTGGAGATCGAAGGGAAGGAAGGTACTCTCCTCCTCCTCGGAACCGTCAGGAGCTAGGAATGGGGCGTCGAACGGGAGGGAGTCGGGAGCACAAAACGGATCCGGTCTGGGGGCAGCCGGAAGCTGCAGCACCTGAGAGGTGGAGGGCGGGTTGGGCGCGGGCCGATCCCCAATCTTGGCGGCGCGACTAGGCGGAGGCGAAGGAGCCCGTGGCTGCAGCAATGCTCGTTGCGAGACAGGCTGGCGAGGAGAGGGTGGGAATGATTGGCCAGCATGCGAGGATGACCCGGGAACTGGCAGGGACGGTGCGGGAACCGAACTTCTGTCGCGAGGGCACACCGAAGCTGATCAGAAAGGTTACACATTACAAAGCAGCCCAGGGCATGGTACCCAAATGTGCACGACCGGTCCACACAACGTGCCACAGAACATGGGACCCGAGAGCGAGCTAACCAAGAACGCGAACACAGAGGAAAAACAAACACCCGCCAAACCCATCAAAGGAGGTAACCGGCCAGAGACAAACCCGCCGACCCACGGGGACCCGGACAGACCAGAGGCGATGGTACCTACACGACAGGGGGCTCGCTGGGGGCCCCCGCTCCACTCCCGCCGCCGGATCCCCGACCACGACCTCCGCGCCCGCCGCCGCGAGGGAAGCCTCCGCCAGCGTCATGGCCGCGATCGGCCGGCCGGTGGAGGGCCGGCGAGTCAGCGTAGAGCCGCGCGTTGTCGGCGATGACCGACGTAAACCGGGCGCGGAGCTGGCACAGGATGTGATGAACATCGATGTAACCAGCCTCGTTCAGAGCGAAGAGCTCGGCTTCCAGCCCGGCAACCCACTGGGCGCAGGCCTGGTGATCAAATACCCGCGCGTGTGGGCTGGCCACACACACGGCCAGGCCGAGGACCGGGGTGATGATGCGGAGGACGTTGTACAAGGCGGCTGGCGCCTGCTGCACGTCCTCCCCGGGGAACAGAACGGGCTCCACCCGCGCCAGTACTTGGTCGACAGTCTCTGCGGCGCACAGGAGGTTGACTCCAAGAGACTTGGAATGGATGCCAATGAGGTTCCGAGCCGCAGAGTACAGCCCGCTCCAGGAGCCCTGGATACCGGCCTCGTCGTAGGCCAGAAAACGCCACCGTGCGTGGTGACTGCAGGACCGGAACGGCTGACAGCCACGTCCCAGCACAAAGCGCCGTCGCGGCGCGAGGACCCCCGTCGCGGAGGAGGAGGCGCGAGTGTTGAACTCGTCCTCGGGCTCCCTCATCCAGTCCATCTCGATGGGCGCCGAGGTCCCCCCCGCCCCAATAGGAGTGGGCGGAGTAGGGACTCGGGCGGGGGGGCGATGCAATTCGGGGTCGACAGGATGACTGCCCTCCCCCGATGCCGACGCGCCGACTCGGACGGAAGCAAGCTTCGGGATGCTAGACGCTGGTGCTCGAAGAGAGCGCGCGTCAGGGCCGTCAAGTCGAACGCGGTTCCTCTCTTCCACCATGGCTGCCTCCCAGGTGGCAGCTGCATGCATGCTGCGAGGAGATGCCTGTGGCTGGGTGGGCCGAGACCGCTTAGGCATCTGCTCTGCCCGGCCTTGGGGCGGCTGGCGCCACCAGGCATTCTGTTGAGCCACGGATGGCGTGGCTGAGTCCACGCGCTCGCTCCAGCGACCGCGGAGTTGAGCCGCGACGCGGGCGGCGCTCTGATTCGCACGCCATGGGCTGCGGAACGTATAGACAGACACACATTTACCTGGGGGGGTAAAGTGTCGATGGGGAGGCGCAGCAATGGGACATGGAAACCGTCACGGTCTCTGGCCTGCGGCCGGATCAGGGGGAGAGTCGCGTCCCTGGGCCGAATCCCGGGCCCCACGCTGAGGGAGGGGGGCAGGTCGCGCTCCTCAAGGCACTCGAAGTGAGTGTGAGCAAATACCCACTCTGGCGCGATGAGCGCCAGGCTAGTGTTGGTGGGCACCCACGACGAATCCTCCTGCAGGGAAGTCGGGTCGAAGGTAATCGCGGGGAGCTGAACCTCGAACCATTGGCGATGCGCCACTTCGGCCGGGGTCGCCCACAACGGGCAAGGGGCGGGGCGAAGAGCCAGCACCTCATGCGACGCATACTGGATAATGTCGAAGTCTCCCATATGATCGCAGATGGTCATGGTGAGCAGGTACAGCGGTCTCGGGGGTGGCCCGAGAATGCGCGCGGCGGCGACCTCGAAGAGGGTATCCGCCACCGAGAACTCCTGCTCGAGGTTGTGAAACCGGAGAGGGAACTCGGCCGTCGCGGCGTCAGAGACGTCCTGAGCGGAGGATTGACCTCCGCCATGGCGCCACCTGCGTGGCGGGATATCACGCTGGAGACCGGTGGGTGACGTCACTGTGCGGGATGACCGCAACGGTAACGGCAGGGCCATAACCATGGGAGACGTGGCTGAGAGGGTGTTTGAAGCCGCAGCCACATGGAGAGCGAGACACCGGAGGAGCCGGCGCCGAGGCCAGAAAATAAGCATGAGAGGCGGCTCGGCATGGAGCCTGGGAGCCGGAGGCGGGCGGGCGATGGAAGGTGAATAGCGATTCCTGGTCGCGAGGGACCGGCGTGCGAGAAGGCTGCGACGAGCGTAGCGCGCATGGCGCAGAAGCCTAAGGGCGGCGGCGCGCCATACGGAGGCCTCGGGAACGGGGGGGGGGGGGGCGGCGCGGTACCGTGCTGCGATCACTCACCTGCCGCTGCGTGGGACCGTGAGGTTGGCGCCAGTGCGCTCGATCTGCCCCTCAGGGTGAGCGTGCTCCACCCATGTGCCGCGCCGGTCGTCCGCGGAGGGCGGACCGGCGGCATTTGCGGGGACGTGCTCCCACTCGGCGGTGTCATCGGGGTGTTCGGGCTGTGCGCCCGGCGCTCGTGGAGAGGCCTCATCATAATCCAGCTCCTCCGTTTGGGGGTCGAAGTGATCCGCCTGAGCGGGTGCACACGGCGAACCATCAGAGCGCTGTGCGCGCAGGGCGGTCGAGCCCGCGTTGAGCGGGTGCGCCAAGGGCCTGGGCCCGGATGGCTGTACGGAGGGCGGGTTGACCGCTGTACGTCAGGGAACTACCGAGCCGCTGCCGGAGGCACATGAAGGCCGGTAGAGCTGGAGCCGTAGGGGTAGCGCCCGGCCGCGGAACGCCTGGAAGGGGCGGGGGGAGGGCCCCTGGCGCAATCGGCCGGCGAGCCCGGGGCGCGATCGACCGGCTCGCCGACAGGGCTGACCGTGTCGATCCGGGCGCGGTGAGCGCGGCCAGGCGTGAACCTCGTGCGCCGCCAACCGGGATGGGGTCGAGCGCGAACAAGGCGGGCACGGGCGAAGTGCGCGACGAGCGCCGGCGGCGAGAGCCGGGAGGCGGAGCCGCCGCGGGGCGCGAACGGCGCGGAAGGGCGGGCCGACGCCGGCGACCCGCTGCAAGCAACCTAGCAGGAAGGAAGACCGCAGGGCGCCGATGCCGCTGGGGTGATGGGCCGCGATGCCGCCGGGGGCCTCGTGCAAAATCTCTCCGCTTCCCGCTATCGCGGCCTGCCTTCCCCGCCGCCTTGCTTACCATCCCTTGGGCTTGCTTCCGCGGCGGGCTGGCGGCAGCGGCCACGCTAGGTTATGGTCCGCAGCAACTGACGCGAGGAGCGACAGCCGCGATCGCTGTGCTGTGCACTTTATTCCATCAATCGCGGGTCAGGCGCGTCCGCGCCCCTTAATTTCCGTTAATCATGTTAAGAATGTCGCTCAGTGTGGGGTGTCCACTGGCAGTGCTCGCCGGCTGTTGGGGCGTTTTGACGGACGTGTTGCTGGTACTGAAGGGTGTTTTGGAATGATGTAAACACGTTGCGCCACCAGGTTTTGACGGCTCTATGGCAGTCAGGGACCAGCCTCACGTGTCCCGCCAACACAGCTCCGTTCCCTACTCGTGCTCTTAGGGAACCTCACAGGTACCTGCTCGCACCCTGCGGATGCCCTCGCCCGGTGACGCCCGCGCCGGCGCCCTTCCCCCGCACCGCTTCTCCATGACTGCCGGGGGGAACCCCCCGACCACGCCGTCCCCCCCAATATCAGTACCCACCCCCTCCACCAAGTTCCAAACCCAGAGCACAGCAGCCGCAGAGCAGCACACCAGCCCACGCACACCCACGCTCCGCGCCAGCCGCAGGGCGCGCGACGGTCGCTTTGCGGGCGCCCGAACCGACAGAGGGCCGCCGATTGACCCCATCGTTCGACCTTCGGCCCAAGAAGCCGCAGGTGGGCCAAACCCTCGCGGCCGATCCCGGGATCCCACCCGGAGATCTCGGCCTCGGGCAATGCCGAGATCCACGGCGCTGATGCCAAGCGGCGCAGCATCTTGAGGGCGGGGCCGGCTGGCGCGGCTCCCGAGCGCCGTCCGCGACGCTTGGGGGGACCGCCCAGCTCGACCTTCCCCTCCCTGGATGACTGCGCCAGCACGAGTTTCGCTTCGCCTTCGCCCCCATGGGGTTTCTGAGTTTGCAACCGGTCACCGCCCAACCCGCGTTCTGCGTTCCGCGGCTCTGTCTGCAGGCTGCGGGCCGCCCGGCAGGAGCAGTTGCTTGCCCGGCCCATCGAGCGCCGGGGCGCATCGAATCGTCCGCCGATTGTCGGCAAGAACAGGGGAGCAAAGCATGAGCTCGGGAGCCGAAGGGGACCGGGGTGCGCCGGAGGAAGGCGGCCGGCACGTGCATAGCATCGAGGCATCCGGGGCGCAATCCGATTTTGAGGGTTTCTCGGCGGGGGGATCGCCGCCGGGGGGCGCCTGGCTGCTGGCGGACGGTGAAGAGTCCGGCGAGGAGGGGGGCGCATCGGCGAGGCCGAGTTTCGCGAGCACGGAGGGTGAAGGGGAGTGCAGGGAAGGATCCCCCGGGCCGGGATGCGGCGCTTCGTCGATAGGTGAGTGGGCTGCGGGGATCGCGGCGCGGGTGGATCGTGGCTGCGGCTGGTGGTGCTTGGGTTGCGATTTGTTTTTGGTTCGCACCCGATGGGAGGTTTGGCCCCTTGCGGAGATCTCCTGGTTGGGTTCCCCAGAAGAGGGGGGGGAGGGGTTATTGATTTGTTGCAAGGAGAAAGAGAAACAGGTCAAACGAAGGGCAGCCCCTCGTAAGCAGGGGTGGGCGAGACCGTTTGGTGGGGGGGTCGGAGGTGGGAGGCTGGGGGTGGGGGAAAGAGCCTGATCTGACGTGTGGGGTTACTGTCCTGCGGCGCATGGATGTCGCACGGTTGGGATTGGGAGGAAGGGCGACGGGAAGGGACGCATCGGCGAGGACGATTCGCGAAATCGCCACGCCCCAGCCCGCACCGGCCGTTTTGCGGGATCTCCTGGAGCACTCAGGCCGAGGATGGCGGCTGGCGTCGTCTTAGGAGATGCCGATGCGGCTTCGATGCAGCGCCGTTTGGACGCTGCGCGGCAGACGGGGTTGAGCCATTGGGTTGGCGCGCCCCACGCTCGCGGTTTTTGTTGGGCTGGAGTCGACTCTTTCTGTGAGCGTTGCGCCGTTGCGGGCTGTGGCCGTGGCCGGGGAGGTGTGTGTGTGTGGGGAGGGGCCTTATTCGCGCTTCCGCTTCCATCTGGGCGACATCCACATTCCCTGGCGAACGGACAAACGGACAATTGGTGGACCACCTTGAGCGGAAATCTCCCTCGATTGCACCCTTCGTAATTTGTTGATTGCACATCGCAAGGGGTGGTGACTTCGCCGATTTGGTTTTGGTTGGCGCTATACAGGAGTGGTTCTCATTGGCTTTAGTGCCATCTTACTAAGGCAGTATTTGCCGAATAGAACCGATGCTTCTGGTTCCCTGCGCACATCCACAATGATGGGTGCTGTTCCTGCGCCGAATAGCACCAGGGCACCATTGCAATGTTCTGCGCGAATAGCACCGGTGCCACTCTGGGGTGCTATTCGGGACCATTTGGCCTCGAGCAGTGCTATTCGGGGCCAGAATAATGTTGGGGTGTGCTATTGCTCCCCAACCATTGATGATGGTTTTTTGACATGCGGTGCTATTTGGATAGCCGAGGAGCACTGCCGGACAATAGCACCGACCGATAGATGCTGTCAGAATCAAATCCACGCATGTTGGGGGTGGGGGGCCCCTGCTATGCACAGAAATTACGTAATTGTCTAACAAATATCAGCATAACCAAAGAAGAGCCCCAGGTCGTCACTGGTTTGTTCCAAAACTTCGTTAAGCACGAAGCTATGTTGAACCCCAACATGTCTGAATTTGTGATATCCAGTGTTGTCTCTTTAGCCTGTCATAGCTAATCGAGTACTTTAGTGGTAAGCTCCCATTGAACAAGAGCAACAATTGATGTTTGTCGTTGCCAGTCATGAAGCCGTCATCGCAACCAGGTTTATCAGGACGCCGCCATCACTGCTGAACAGGCCTGCCACACATAGGAGGGTAAACAATGATTTTGTTATGAGCTCCTCACGTCAAGAACTGTGTCCTAATTGTGTCCTATTGGCAACAGTGATTGATTTTGTTGGAGGATGACGGACAAATTTTTTGGCGACCTAAACGGATGTGTGGCGTGAGCAAAGGAATAATTGACAGCCACTAGCGCCATGAGAAAAACTTGCATTGTGGGCCAATCGAGAACGTTCACAGCCAATGTATGGTGCATCGATGGGAACACAATGCTTTCTGCCTTGCACTGACATGTTGTACTCCACAATTGGGTTAATTGTTGCTGAATTATGCCCGAATCGACATTAGGACTGACAGTGAGGTGGGCCAAACCTTGGTGCTTAGATGGGGTTGGGTTAAGGAGATGAGCTTAATTTCGGTAATTATGACATTGAGACTGTCGAAAGTGACCTGGTGTCATCCAAAAGTGGGCCAAAACGAGGTCTTTTGTGCAACACTGTCGACCTCGCTCTGCTGCGCTTTAACTTCGCTGGCATTACTTCTACAAGATGTATTATCATGCCTTGATGCACTAGTGCTGCTGCAACTACACAGTTGCCCCACCCTGCAATACGTTTTGGCAGCCACAACCGCATTATATCATACCCTTCCGCATTTCAAATTTCAGGGTTGCGATTTTTGCTCCGCAATTTTTCGACAGACCGTTGTTGGGGGGATCTCCGCGTGATGGTCACAGCCAGAATGGCGCCTTCGCTCAGTTTACATGGCCTGAAATGCCAGTTTTCCGCCACAGCGGTTCATGCACCCGGGGCTGCTAGACACCACAAGGACTCCAGAGACCCTCAAGTCGTGGCTGGGGCTGCTTCAGATGTTCTTGGCACTGTTACATGCTTATTGTCGCTCTGCACACAAAGCCAGATGTTACAGTAGGGTACTCTCGCTAGGATGCACACTGCCCCCCTCCCGTTTCTGGATTTCATAGTTGACGATACGGCAGCATCATTGACACCCTTCATGCAAATGAGTTATTTATGCTCCGACGAATAACATTGTGGCAGTGATCATGCACCAACGTCAGCGCAGGTTGATGTCAAAACCATTGGTGCGTGGACGTTGTGACTTTGATATCATTGCATCCTTGCTCAGCAATTCATCAATGGCATGCTGTGGTCGTGGTTGCAGCAATACCCTTCAAATTTCTGTATGCGGGCAGCATGACTGGGATACATGGGTGGCGTGCTTGGTCCCCACTCAGTGGAACAGCAGCCTCTGCTCCCGATCAGCAAAGTGCTGCATCGAAAATGGAACAACTCCTAAGTCTGGAGGTGCTGTTGTGCTAACGTCTGTGACAAAGTACCTACGACGGAATCGCCATGCTCTATTGCTCTAGCACACCTAATAGTTCCTGTGGCATTACCAGTAATACAACATTTGAATAACAGCACATTACCCATGTATGTAACTAATTTGAATTGCATCTACTAATGCACTCGCAAACTGTGCCTTGTTGCCATTCCGAAGCGAAATAAACGGATGCTAAGAATGAATGGAGTTGTATTTTCCTTCCACCATGACAAGCTTACCACAGTCTTGCGACTGTGAATGTAGCCTTAACAGAAGAACGCCTACCGTGCTTTTCCTAGCGTGGTACCACAACTGGACAAAGTCACGCGTCGCCCAGTTGGCTCAGAGTCTTGTAATCTGGTGACAAGGCCGGAGCGCCTTCCAGCCCCAAGGAGCATTACCTGCCATCTCAGACTTGGTCCAAAGCTCGCTCAGTACGCCAAGAAACGAAATCCCTGAGTGGTGTTTGACGAGACCCCCCCCCCCCCCAAAAAAATACAGAATAAAAAGGGAAAAAGGGCTCCAGAAACAGAGTTGTTTTTCCTTTTTCCTCTTTTTCCTTTTTTCGTCTTTGTTCGTTTTTCTCTTTCGGTTTTCGTTTTTCCTTTTTCTTTTCTTCTTTTCCTTTTCTTCTTTTTCCTTTTTTCCTTTTTTTCCTTTTTTCTCTGTTTTGTCAGGTCCTGACCTCATACGTCGTTTCCAGGCAACGAGAGCTTCACGGACGTCTTGGCTTCCATCCTGCAAGACGTCGCCCCGCTTTCGGACTCCAGCGACGCGGAAGGCGCCGAGCTCGTGGACCCCTCGGGCGGCCGGCCCACGACGGCAGCCGATGGGAGCGACGGCCAGGAGAACCTGAGCGACTGGGTGGCCGTCGACGAGCGCGCCGGCAGCCAACAGGGGGATGCGGAGCATGAGGAGCCCAGCAGGTTAGCGAGATGTTGATGACGATGAAATTCCATTGATTGCGTGTCAGCCACCGAGGGCTGCGTCGCCTCTAAGCAGCACAAGAACCGCGTGTCCATTGTTTGTCTCGGCACTCGTCTCACTCACGTGCCGACTGCCCGCCTGTACAGGCGAGCGGGGTGCAGCACCCCGGATGGCGACTGGTGGTCGGCGGCCCCTCTCTCGGGCTCGAAAGGGAGGGCCGGCAGTGAAGCGGGGAGCGAATCGGACGGGGGTGGCTGGGAGGCCGTCCCGCCGTGCTGCGGGTCGGATGGGGACGGATGCAAAGGCGACTTTGACGCGCAGTCCGCTGGAATGGACGACCAAGGGCGGGGGAGGCATTCTCGAACGGACGATGTTGATCGCCTGGAGGCCGCCGGCTGCGCCAGCGAAGATGACGTCGACGCCGACTCGGAGTCGGGCGACGGCGCCCCCGAGGAGCCGTCGTGGGAAGTCCTGGAGCGCGTCTTCCGGTGGGTGTGGAAGCCAGAGCACTGCCAGGCGGGCCCTGAGGCCCTGCGGGCGGCGTGGCCCCAGGCCTACGCGGCCGCCTTCGACGTGGCGCAGGGCGGCATGCTGGCGTCGCTGATCGTCACCCTGTTCGAGCAGCGCCTCGAGGGGATAGGCGAGCGGATGGCGAGCCGATCGGGCGAGGCGCTGATCGCCTGCGCGCTGGGGGAATGGCGCGATCTGTTCGGGTCGATCCACACGCTGTCGGACCTGCTGCTGCACGCGTCGCGCGTGAGCGCCCCCGCGTCCCCACCTCTGCCCGAGGGAGTGGTGGGCATGGAGGCGCCGCACGGCGAAGATCTGGCGGCGCTGGTCTACCAGAGGTGCGATGACTTTTGGCTGGAGGCGGTGGGGCGCGCGGGCCTGGCGCGGGCCATGGTGGGCGTGATCGCCGACCTGAGGGAGGGTCGCCCGGCCAACGAGGTGCTGGTGGTGGAGTCGACGTGCATGCTAGATTCGATGGGATTGTACGAAGCCGTGTTCGAGGGCGCATTGGTGCACGAGTCGGTGGCGCACTTCCGGCGGAGGGGCCGGCACTGGGTGAGCGCCGTGCTGAGGACGGAGAGCGACGCGCCCTTCCCGGAGATCCAGGACATCCTGGCCCGGGAGGAGGCGCGGGCGAGCGGCCTGTACCCCAAGAGCGCGCGCCTGGTGCTTCACGCGGCATCCATGGAGGTTCGATCCGCGATCCAGGATCGGATGGAGCCCGCCGTTGGCGGGCTGATCGACGCGCAGAGGCACAGCGACCTCGCATGGCTGGCGGCCGCCTGCGCCGACGCGCCCGAGCTTGGCCAGCGGCTGCGATCCATCTTCCAGGCGCATGTCGAGAACTGGGCCGTGGAGGCTGCCGCATCCTCGGCGGGGTGGCTGGCCGATCCCGTGGGGTGCCTTGGGGCCCTGTGGGAGAGGGGGGCGGCTTTAGTTGAGGGCGGGTTCGGCAGGAGCCCGGAGTACTGGGCGGCGCTGTGCGGCGCGATAGCCAACACATTCAGGGCGCGGGGCGTGGGGCGCAGGGCCCAGCAGGAGTTCATGGCGCACGTGGCCACCAGCCACCCGCAGTGCGTGGGCTACTTCTCGGGCCCGCGGGCCCGGGGTGCCGAGGGGGAGGCGTCGCTGATCTGCACGGAGGTGCTGTAGAACCTGCGGGGTGCGTCTGCGGTGTGGCTGCGCGGCACGGGCTGGGAAGGCGTGAAGTGAATTTCACGCCTTTCAAAGCAGAAAGCATGGGCTGGGAGAAGGCCCGCCGTTACACACATACATTGTACACAGGGAATGCCGTGTGAAGAGTCTCTAACATTGAGGGCAGCGGCCCCCTCTTTGGGCTGTTGTTCTGTATCGGGAAGGGGGGTTGGCGATGCGAACGGATGGAAGCAGGAAGGAAGGTGCCTGAATGGAGGGAGAAATTGTGAAAATGGAACAAAACGGGGAGAAGTGGCTTTCTTGGCCGCGCACTGGGGGGTTGGGCGCTGGTGTCCTTTCGCCACGAGCATCCAGTTGGCTTGGCTGGGTTCTGGTAGTGTGAGCCCAGGCGCCCAAAATTTTGGCAGTGTGTGGGCGTTTGGGCTCATAAGCAAGTTCACATTTGTAACAAGTGAGGATGCTCATGCACAGCGGGCGCATTCTTTGTAGTTTCCGACTCGATCACGGTGCATGGGTGGTACGTGTGGCCGCCAATGCCCGGCAGCAAGTCACAAGCGGCAAGGGGGGTTTTTGTAGTAGTTAGGGGATGAAGGCGACGGGCCAACAGATGGAAATTATGGGTTCAAGCTGCGCTAATGTACAGCAGTGTGTGACGTGTGACCCATATGAGGGCAGTGGTAGAGGGGCCCGAATAATACACGCTTAGGGATAGTCTTGCATGGGATTGGCGCTGAGCGACGGTGTGCGCTTTGCACGCAGTGGTATGTGCGTGATGCTGGAATGGAGAACGGGCATGTTCTTAGGCTTGCAACACATAGGCCACCGGTCATGCATTTATGCAAGTGTAACATGGCGGTGTGGATTTAAAGAGGGGGGACATTGAGGGACAAAGGCTGAGGCGCGCTTTGCTTCATCCTTTCTTACTCTCAGAGCCCCGATCTGGGAGCGTGATGAACTTGCTCTTCTATTGCCTGCCTGGTGGCGCGATGCACACATTGCGTGCGACTGCATATTCTTTTGGGCAACGCGCGGACGAGCACAGTGGCGATGGCATCGCGGCAGTTCTGTCAAAAGCTCACATGCAATCTGGTCCACCGGTGTTTCGTCTGAGTGCCTGGAAATGCGCCCCTGAACAGTCAAAAACGATTATTTGACCGTTGTTCAAGTGCCATGGTGTCATACACAGCTGGCAAAAACCAACAGTAGGATGGCCGTACTTGGGGATACCAATATGACTCAATGACAAGTCATACGCGCTTGATGAGAGTCACCAAAAACACAGTAACTATCACAGGCCTGCCAATCGCCCGTGATTTCTGAGTGTTCCGCTCCTGCACATTCAACAACTTAACTCATAGAAGCTCACAGGACGATGAAGATCGCCACAATACGCAAATTCAGATCCAACAGGACTCTTGGGGTGTTGTCGAGCGCTGCCGAAGCGAGGCGCAACCCCAGTGCTGAATTTCGTGTTCAACTTCACCCTATCCATTCACATACAGCGAATGCATGCAAGGAATGAGCAGCTCGAAACGAGGCACATAAGACCACTCTAAAACTGTGAAACAACACTCCACACCTCGCTCAGTAGCTCACTGTAGTGAGCGTACTGATCAATCGTTGGATGTCGCCCACCGATGTTGTCAATGCTCATTCCTTGTGGCCCGCCACTGTGCTCCACTCACTCGCCGAGCAGCGGACGATGGAGACGAGTCGTTGAGTCAATGAAAACGGTACCCAACGTGAGCACACGTGGGTCAATCAGTCAAAGAGACAGGAATCGAGCTCAACAACGAACTGTGGGTATGCACAACGGTGCACAACCCGCAATGCAAACGACCCGGAGGGTCAAGAGGCAAGGGCGCAAAGAATCAAACGTGTTTGTTACAATGTCACTCCCCTTTGAGTGCGTTCGAACCCCACACTCTCACAGCATGGCTGCTTTCCATAGGACACTAACCGTCAAGACAGAATGGAGCCAATGGTGGACGGGTTGTGGGGGAGAGAGCGACACACCAACACCCCAAACAACCCTTCCTAAATACCCCTAAAAGCTCCAACAGCAATACACTTCAACAACCCTCGGATATTCCAACAGACACTCTGAGAAAAAGGCCCCAGTACCCCTTGCACAAGTAGTCCACTTTCCCAGAACTTCCCACTGATTGTTCCAATGTGGCCTTTCCCAAAGGACCATGCAATGCAGCCTAAAAAGACCAGGTCCAAGCACTACAATATCATTCAGTAATCACCAACGTCCCTTGGCAGTACACCCAATGCTTGGTAGTACTACACGTCATCTTCACACTTCCGCTATGAGAAACTCAAAGCTCTAGGTTCCTGAAACATCAAATAAAGGGGGATCCCCCAATTCAAACAAAAAAGACATCTAATGCATTTTCCATCCCAAGTACACCCATCACAGCAACAGTCTTTCGTGCAAAATGTCGGTAAGGTCCGAAAGGCTGCACTTGTGCACAACATCGCGATTATGTGTTTTTTTGGGCAAAACGGTTGTGCCCAAGATTGGCCATCAGAAAACAAGGAAATTTGTGCGCAACATCGTTATTTTTGAGTGCGCAAAAAGAGTAGAAGATGCATGTCCTGTTGTTTTCTGTGACCCCCTTACCGACATTTTGCACGAAAGTTAGTTCAGCCTACAATTCCATAATAATGATGGTCCCCAGGCTGCCTTATCCACTCCACCTCCTTCTCACCCACATACGTCATATGCTCCCACAACCTCACTCCACGTAGCATCATGAATTCTTCATCCTGTATGCTGCCACCTCTCACCGGGCAGTAACGTAAGCCTTCCAACATGATGCCGCCAGCACACGCCAAAATGCTTGACTCGCCCTCTCCAGCATTCCAACGGGCAGGCACCCGTCCCCCTCGGCGAGGCCGCCCACGCAGCACTTGCCAGCCCATGCAAACGGCACTAGAGGCTTGTCCGGGCGGTCGAGTTCAGCAGCGACCCGTGTGTGGCGTTTGGAGAGTCCCCACACTCCCTTGCCGCGCCAGTTCATGGCATGGATGCTCCGCCGCAGCCGATTCCCTAGGCGAATGCTAGGGATGGACGCAACCCAATAAGCATTGATGGCAAACAGATTGCCACCCAGATGCCCCACTCGCCAGCGAGTCGTGGCGTCGAAAGCACACTTCAACCAAAGATGGGGCGTTCCAGGGCCAGCGCCAAGGCCTATTTTGGCACGCCAACACCACTTTGTCGGCTTCGCCCAGGCCGACCAAAGGCTCACCCGGGCCCCTTCATCCCTGCGTGCACAGGTCAACAAATATCCCCCGAGGGAGCGAAAGCACCACTCCGTCATTTGGCATGGCGGAACCGGAGGGGCCACCCGCACCATGCACAACAGCATTCGAGCCGCCCGCGGAACGTGGGGACACTTCGGCCAAGACGAACAGAGCCACTCGAGTGCTTTTGCACGGTTGGGGAGGCTGGGGCGTCATGGCACGCTGAGCAAAATGGGCACTGGCGGGGTGCAGGTGCAACCCGCGGGGTCCAGATACCGGGCGCGTGGGCACATCCAATACTCAGTACATTAGCCCCTTCACCCAACAGGGCACTTTCTTGTACAATTCCCAAAACTCAAAGTACAGTTTGTATCCGTCCACCACGTCCCATCACACAGTAAAGGACCCTAATACCCCTTCATTACTTGTCCCGTCCTGGTCCTAGGACCTTAGAAAGAGTCCAGGTCCATCGAAGGACGAAACTCATGGTCCTTGACCTCCCAAATTGGGGCCAAAAACATTCCCCATTCGCTGCTAAAGGCATTTAAAACACCCCTAACACGGGCCAGGCCCCCATCCAAGGGTGATTTCCATTGGTACTGTATGTATTGCGGCCTCTTTCTTTCCGTCTGATGTACCTATAGCCTCCATTCTGTGTACTGAAAATGTGTGACTCAAAACTGTAATGCCTCCCGTCAATCTATGTGCCTAACCAGACTATTTTCCGTCCCTTTCCTTGACAAAATGACAGCGCAGTCGTAGCTGCTCGTGCTGCCCATCGACTGGTCTTAAATTGACCCAAAATCTAAAGATTGGGTCGTTTCTAATTATCACTAAGGCAGAATAATGAAATAGGGGACATTTATGCCTAGACCGCTTTGCTTCACTTGCACTGGATGATAGCTGACTGCGTTCACGTTTTTCTTGAGTACGGAACAGTGGCAGGACTACCTATTTCAGCCATATTTGTACTCATGCTTGGTTTTTACGCCGTAAAAACTGATCGTATTTACGTTTTTACGCGTAAAAACAGTTTTTACGTTTTTACGCGTAAAAATGCGTAAACACAACGTAAAAACTGCCCGGTGTACATAAGGACAGTACATGCAGACTTGCGGAGTCCGGAGACTGGAAGCCAGACGCCCTGGAAGGGGCAGAGAACGAGTTTTTGTTGAGGGAAGTTTTATGGATCCATTATTGTTAAGATCAGGGAAAATAGCTGTTGGGGTGGGCTGGTTGTTTTGGCTGGCAGCAACGAAACTATTCGACGATCCTGCCGAATATTTCCGCACTTCCTTCTACCACATTCTTTGCTCAGTTACAGTGGTGGCCATTAACTTGAGCAGATTGAACTGTAATCGAACACCGTGCACTTGAATGCTTGTTTTCAACAATAAATCTAAAGATCTAGCTCAAAAGGCAAACTGGAGCTAGGAGCGTCCTAGGAGCCATGCCGCTGCCGTGGTCCGTACTATGCACATTCTGGCTCTTGCAAATCACGTAATTCAGGGTAACACATCAGTGAACACAGTAGTTGCGCATTTGTAGGCAAGAAAGTCCCATACCCTTGTATGTACATTGTGACATGCTTAAGAAACGGAGTTCCAGCATATGGGACTTGTTCAAGTCACCGTACAGTTAATTGCCCAGCCACTCAAACAAGTCGCATGTGCTGAATCTGCGTGTCCTGAATGGCAGCAATGCTGATTTTTTAAGGAGTTGCGATTTTGCAGCTCATCCAT